CCACTTCAAAATTTTTGCTGATGTTTTGCTTTTTGTTTTTGCATCGAACTCAGTGCCTTTTACATGTTAGGCAAAGCACTCTGCCTCTGAGATGTGGACTCAGTCTTAATGATTAATTTTACTGATGGTTTATAATAAAGATGAGAGTTCTGGTGGGGTTTTGCTAATGCCTCTGAGAATAAAGCTGCTTTGAGCTACATTAAAATTCATTTCATGGAAAATGAAGTAATATGGTTGACTAGAGAGGAAGGTAATTTATCACTTTATTTGCCTGGTGAATAATCCATGATAACAGCTTTTCTAAAATTAAATCTGAACATATTTCGATTTAGAACACCTTAATGCTTAGTCTCATCATGTGGGTGAGTCCCTATCATCTACTCAGAACTCTAAAATTACCTCCATTCTTTATCATAATTGTTTAGCATACCAATGACTTATTCTGCCTAGCTTAGTTTCATAATCCTCCTTTCCTAAAGAAATGCTAGTAAAAATGTTTATCATAAAAGTGAGGGAGATGACCTTGTGGTTCATTCCTGTAAGTACAATACTCAAGAGACTGAGGCAGAGAAGTCACTGAGTTCAATGCCAGCCTGAGCTACATAGTGAGATGTAAAGGGAAAGCCTTCCCGCCAGCCTGGTTCCAGAGCCGCATCAGTCCCAAATAAACACACAGGAGGCTATATTAATTATGAAGCTGTTGGCCTTGCTTGTTTCTTACTGGCTAGCTCTGACTTAAGTATTTACCCCATAATTTTTAATCTAAGTATTTCTCTTACCGGAGAAATTTTCGGGCTTCCTACCCCATGGCGGTTACATCTCGACTTCCTGTGTTTCTCCTTCCCAGAGTCCTCCTGGACTCCTAGTCCCACCTATCTTGCTTCCCTATTGGCCAACAGTGCTTTATTGACATATACACAGGACTTCCCCAACAGTGAGACCCTATCTCAAAGCAACCACAACAAAAAATGATAAAAATACAAGGGCAAAGGAACATGTTAGCTTTTGTGAGGAACGAAGTGCTATGTGAACGTGTATTGTCGACATGAGCACAGTGATGCTAAGCACCCCAATACCTCAGACACACAGAAATGGCAAAGCCTTCTGGTCCAGGGATGTTATGGTGGATTGACATTCAGCTAAACCAGTATATGCAGAAACTGTCAACCACAGCATGTGAAGATCACAGCCTGAAACTGTTCCCCCACAGAGACCTCCTACTGAGATAAGCAAACCACATCCTCCCAATTCAACTGTGCATATAAAAACCACCTCCTGGATCAGCCATGTACTGTAAACCCATTTCCTTGATCAGCCGTGGACTCTAAACCCACCTCCTGGATCAGCAGTATATATAAACATACTGAATTTTCAGGCCGCTGGAGTGCTTCCAACAGAGAGCACCACCCACCTGATCCCAGCTTTTCTGTATATGTCTGTCCTTCATTCCCTTGTCAGCCCCAAAGCCAGGCAGGTCGTGGTAATGTCCACACCCCCGCTTTTGCCCAGTACTGGGAATTAACCCAAGCAGACACTGTACCACTGCATTGTATCCCTAGATCAGTGGGGGAAAAAAGCATTAGAATGAAGAGAAATGTCTTTATTAGATGATTAAGTGATGAAGTTATAAAAATTTAGATTTGTTAAAATTTAAGATAACTCAAACTTATTCTGCATGGATAAAGAGGTTGGGGTATAATCTGAATAGCTATCTTCTGGGGTAAGAACAGGTTTATGTGACTGTAGATGATGGACATTGTAGAGCAAGCTTATTAAGAGGGGCTGGAGAGATGGCCCAGTGCTGAAGGGCACGTGCTGCTCTTTCAGAGGATGTGAGTTTGAGTCCTAGCACCTATTTCAAGCAGCTCACAACCACCTGTAACTCCAGCTCCAGGAGATCTGACATCCCTGCCTCTGTGGGCACCTGCACTCCTGTACACATACTGCCGCCACCACAGCACACACATGTATACATAGTTTAAAATAATAAATTTCAAAAAAGTTCTCTAGAGCAGAAATACTAGAATTATCTTAGGAAAAAGTGTTTACTGCTCTAGTTGGTGGCATGAACCTGGTTGAGTGGAGCCTAAAAATGAGGCGGACTAAAGTCTCATGTAATAGCTAACATTATTCAGAGCATCAGACAATTTATACTCTGCCGGTTAGGAGTCACCCAGGTAAAGTTTACAATCACAAGGACAAGCCCCATGTATCAATGAACATGTTTTTCCAGAGGGACATATGAATAACAACAGCTGAAGTAAAGTCACTCCCATCTGTTATACCTGAAAACATAATCCAAGAACAATTCTGTGTTCTAAAGAAACTGAGGTCACAGACTCACGTCTGTTTTCTTGGAGTTTTCTCACAAGCACCCAGAAAACTCATACAATTCCATTCTTGGACTGTGTTCCAACAGAAAATAAATCGAATATGGGATTTATTTGTCTACTCATGCAATATATTTTGAACATATTTTTTCCACTCTCCAACTCCTCCCATATCCTCCCCACCTTCTTATCCACTCAACTTCTTGTTCTCTTATCTCTGTCCTCTCTCTCAAAACAAAATAAAGAAAAAATAAAACTCAATGAGACAAAAGAAAACAAGAAAGAAAGATAGACAGGAAGGAAGGAGGGAAGGTAGGGAGGGGAAGAAGGGAGGGAGAGAGGAAGGAAGGAAGGAAGGAAGGAAGGAAGGAAGGAAGGAAGGAAGGAAGGAAGGAAAATGGAAGAAAAGAAAAGGGAAGGCCACAGAAAAAGCCATGGAGTCCATTTGTGTTCGCCAACAGCTCTTGGGCATGGGCCTGCTCTGGAGGGTGATTGATATATACAGTGACACTCCATTTGAGAAAATTGACTTTCCTTCTCCCAGTAGCTACCAGTTGCAAATAGCTTCTTGATTAGGTGTTGAACTTTAGTCAACTTCCCTTTCTCAGTGCTGGGATTTTTGTCTGGTTTCAGTCCATGAGGGTCATGCACCTGCTGTCAATCTCCATGAGTTCATACATGTTTCTGTTCTGTTGTGTCTGTTTCCTTGGTGTCATCCACCACTTCTGCCCTTCACACTTCTCTTCCACATGGATCTTTGAGCGTTGAGGACAGGATTATATAAAAAACATCTCATTTAGGGCTGAGTGCTCCAAAATGTCTCACTCTCCAGACATTGTCCAGTTGTGTCACTGTGTTAACTGTCATTTACTGCAAGAAGAAACTTCTCTGAGGAGTTGAATGAAGCCCTGGCCTGATCCCAGCCTAGAGTTGGGGCAATATGAAAAATTAATTATCATGATAATTCCTTTCAAAATAAGTTATATTCATGACACTGGTTTTTTATTGATTTTATTGATTCATTATACATGGTACTGTTCACATCAGGGCATTTTCATGCACATATGTACTTTGAGAACGTTCCCTGTCATACATTACACCCTGCCTCACCCTGTCATTTGTTTCCTTTCTCCAAGACACTTTCACTGTTACTTTCATGTCATATATACATGCATAATTTTATGTATCTATATGAAATTTATGAACCAAAAATGAAGGAAAATATGATATTTAATTCACTTAGTATGATTATTACCAGTTGCATCCATTTACCAGCAAATGATATAACTTTATTCTTCTTGCCCCAAAGGTAAGCCCACACAGCTGTGGGCACCTAATTTTTAAAACGTATTTATTTCGTTTTTTGGTATTATAATTACAGTCTCCCTTTTCTTCCCTCCAAATGCTTCCCCTTTCTCTCTCTCAATTCATGGCATCTTTTTTCATTAATTGTTGTTACATACATATATTCTGAAATGCATAGATCCAATCTGCTGTCTGTATAATGTTACTTGTGTGAATGCTTTCAGAGCTGACCATTTGGTATTTTGAAAAACTAGTGATTGTGCTCTTCCCTGGGTAATACTGTTTATCCTGCTCTCAGCATTCCTTGGTTGCCTGTAGGTCTTTATGTGGGGTTGAGGTCTCCTGGGTTTTCCCCACCCACTTTAGCATGTCTGTTGTTGTCCTCGTTTAGCTCTTGTTTAGGCAGTCATGTTGGTAAGACTTATCTCACAGCAACCTCTCCGATCTTATGGTTCTTAATGATCTTTCTGCTCACTCTTCCACAATGTTCCCCGAACCTTAGGTGTAGGAGTTATGTTGTAGGCATAGCTCTTGGGACTCAGCTCCACAACTCTGTATTTTGATTGGTTGTGGTTTTCTGTGGCAGGCTCTGTTGCAAAGAGAAGTTTCCTTGATGAGGAGGAGAGCTATACTTATCTGCAAGTATAAGGACAACTATTTAGAACGTAGTTATGGATTATGCTGGTTTAGTTAAGTGTTGTGGGGACACCAGACCTTGAGCAGAAACCCACTTCCCCTTTGGCCTGGGAGCAGGCAGCTGTGCGATGTTTACTGAAAACAATTCAGTGCTAAAGCTCTTGATAGGGCTCAGATAAGGGCTTGCTCACTGAAATACCATGCTTTTGACACCCCCTACGGCTAGATGTCTCTTCCTGTTTCCCTGCTGTGTCTCCCTGATTCTGGGGCCGGAGATTAACCACCAGCCAGGAGGGTGAGAAGTCTGGAAAGAATGGTATGTAGATGAATGGCAGAAGTCCTTAAAAAGGGAAGCTCCTTTTTCTTAGAGAGACTTCTCCTGAGAGCTCTCTCCTAAGCGGACTGGGGTCTCCTCCTAAGCTGACTTGGGAAGATAAAGTTTTCTTAAAGTAACCGACCGGTCTGTGTCATCTATCCCGACCACCTCGCTACATTCTCGGATGCAGGCCGCACAGCAGGTGCGACAAAGTGTCAGTTGCAGATCTCCAAGAACCCTGACTTTATTGGCCCTGAGTAGTTGGCTAGGTTTTCAGTAGCAGCATGATTTTCCTCTTGCTGTGTGGGTCTTAAGTTCAAATAGAGCACTGTTGATTACCTCCATGCCATTACTGCGCCCTTACGGTTATCATGCCATACTGATCATTCTTTTTGTGTGTGTGCTTCAAAGGCATCATAGCTGGGTGGAACTGCTGTTTGTTCCCCTCATTCAGAAGCTTTCATGCCTCCTTCTGGCACCATAAGCTAGTCCTCGGGGAGAAGACTTTCAGGTGAGTTGCAGCTCAGGAACCGATGAGTCTTGTGTCTAAAACATACAACATCTTCTGTGATAAGAATGTACCTTCTACCTGTCAGGGGCGACCAAGGGCAATAGCTATAAGTTGTAATGCTTTCCGGAGTCTCTTGTGACAACACTGAGCAATAGCTCAACAGAGGGCTTCTCAGCTGGGTGTTGGGGTTTTTTGTTAAGTGGTCTTTGGGTCTTGGAGGAAGCATTGTCAGCCCAGATGAGGTTTCATTTAAACTACATATGTATAACTTGTATGTATTACGTGTTTTCTGAGGTAGACAATTGCTTGTGACTTTTTAAAGATATCTTTACTGTTATCTTACCCTACTCTCTACCTCTGTGCTTACCCCTCTCCTCCTTCCTAATCAGAGTCCCCACTTTTCCCGTTTCCCTGATCGGATGACTCCTGATACCCTCTCTATGCTCCTCCACCCTCACATGGTCCCTTTTTACATTCCTGGTTTCTGCAGTTACTCCAGGAGTCACACGCATATCTGAAAAATTTGAGCTAGGGACCTCAGTTAAGAGAGAACATGTGACATTTGTCTTTCTGGGGCTGGGTTACCTCACTCTTCTAGTTTTATTCATTTACCTGCTAAGTTCACAATGTTGTTTGTTTGCTGATGAGCTCTACTCCAGAGTGTATATGTACCACATTTTCATTATCTGATTACTAGGAATGGTGAACATTTTTGAGATACTGCTTCACCATTAGTTTTTTCTTCTGAGAACTTTATGCTCGGTTTTCTATTTTTGAAAGAGTTGTTTGAGGTTGTTGTTGTTTGATCCTTTGTTCTGAATTCTTTAGAACATTCTGAGTATCAGTCCTGTGTCAGATGTATAGCTGCCCATGATCCTCTCCCATTCTGCAGGCTCCTCTTCATCTGGTTGATTGTTTCTTTAGCTGTGCAGAAACTTTTAGTTTTATGAAGTCCCACGTGTCAATTGTTGGTGCTTTCCTAAACCCTCATCATATAGGGTACTGCTTATGTTTTCTTCTAGCAGTTTCAGGGTTCCCTTTAAGTCTTTGACTGATTTGGAGTTAATCTCTGTGTGGTACATGCAGGTCTGGTGCCATTCTTCTGCACCTGGAAATCCAGTCTTTCCAGCAACATTTGTTGAAGACGCTTTGTTTCTACAGCTTATGTTTTTGGTTGTCAATGGCTCAAGTTACATGTACTCATGTATGGGCCTTCAGTTTTATTCCTTTGGTTTACATGTCAGGTTTTTTTTTTTTTTTTGGTTTTTGGTTTTTGGTTGTTTTGTTTTTGTTTTTGTTTTTGTGCCATGCCATGTTGTTTTTATTACCATGGCTCTGCAATATACCTTAAGGTCTAGAATGATAATCCCACTAATGTTGTTTTCGCACAGGATTGTTTGGCTCTCTGGGGTCTTTTGTGGTTTCATATGTATTTTAGGATAATTTGTCCTGTTTCTAGGAAGAATGAGGTGAACATTTTGATTGGCATTGCATTGAACTTGTAAATAGATTTTGGCAAAATGTTCATTTTCACAATATGAAATATACTGATGCATGAGCATGGGATATCTTTTGGTATTCTAATGTCTTTCTCTATCTCTCTCATTAAATGTTTAAAGTTTTCATTGTAGAGGTCCTTTACTTCCTTAGTTAGGGTTTTTCCCTGGAATTTTTATTTTCTTTGAGGCTATTATGAAGACACTTGTGAATGCTTAATTTTTGACAAAAGTGTCAGAAAAATGTGCACTGAAAAAAACCCAGCCTTTTGAACAAAGAATGCTGGCAAAACTGGATTTTTTCCTGCCTGCAGAAGAATGAAATTAGGTCCATATTCTCTCTCTACATAAAAGCCATTTTAAACTGGGTGGTTAAAGACCTTAATTTAAAACTGGAAACACTGAAACTGCTAAAAGAAGGTATAGAGAATCTGTTCAGGACATAGGTATAGATACCACATTCTGAATACAGCCCTGGTAGTGCAAGAAACAGCTGCAGCAACTGACAAATGAGATTACACAAATTTAAAGGCTTCTGCACAGCAAAACAAACTATCAACAGAGTGGGCAGACAGCCTGAAGGATGGGAGAAAATCCTTATAGTTATACTTCAGAAAAGGGATCAATATCTAGAGTATGTAAAACCCCACTAAATGCCTCTAAGTCAAGCAACCCAATAAATAACTAATGATGATATTAATACATTTCTTAAAAGAGAAAGTTCTAGTGACCGATAACCATACATAGAATGGCAGTGGAGTTTTGGTGTGGATTGCATAACCAGGGTGTTTCAAAGTTGGACCAGCATGGTCAAGAAGAACAGAAAAAATCACAGGCATGTAGTGCTTAATCATATTGTGCCTTACTGGCAACATGGCAAGCACGTCCAGGGACCTGAGAGTGCTCATTCTTGAAAGAAAAACATAAATACAATGTAAAAGTTAGTTCCTGCATTCACGGGGCACAAGGTCTAAACAGGATGTAGACAGGAAATAATCCCACAAGCAATTGCCTCCATTGTGGAAAATTAGATGCAGAAATAAGACAGTAGGGAAGAAAGAGAAGAGCATGGGAGAGAGATGGAGGCAGCAAGGAGGAGAGCAGGGAGAGAAAAGAAGAAAATTGATAGGAAAACAAATCTTTATGAAGAGAAGCATCATAGCCCAGCTTCCTGGTCCAAACCTGTAACCCCAGAACTCAGGAGACAGGCAGAAGGTGATGTGTCCCCAAATGTGTTATCACTGGTTTCCTCATTAATCAGTCTTAATGTCTCTACTTTTTCTGTAGATGTCAGGTTTGCTAGGTAGTGTGTGAACTTTTTAAGATAAATGCTTCAGTACAGATTTATTATTTGTAGTGCCTTATCTTCTTGAAAGAAGATAGTTATCAGGCAGGAAATTCAGGACAAAGAGCTGAAAAATATTCACGACACTTGTGAGGAAAACCATCACTCCAATTGTGAGATTTCCTTACAAGCACTTAAACATAGCTGAGAGTCACCATGTCTGCGAGACCAACAGTGCTGCTTCCTTGGTTTGATCTGACCAATATTTACCACCATTTAGTTATGCTGTCTGTAAGCAGGCATTTTACTGTTTGAAGAAATAATTGTCCATAAAGAAAAATGATTAATTGTGACATGGTTTTACTTTAATCTGTTTTTTAGTTATCATGAGATATCTCAAATAGCTTTCCAATTATTTAAAATGGTAACAGACAGTATTCATGGCATACAGATATGAAAGAGAATTTGTTACTATGTGACTTACTAGCTGAATCAGGAAAGTATTAATCAAACAAGGAGGGTGCAGGGAAAGCAGCTGTAATTTTTAAAGAGATTAAAGAGAAAGCTTGTGCTCTGCACTGGGACAATAGGAAATGTGCCCTAAAGACTCCAACTGTTGGGAGCATAGCATGAAAGTACTTGTGCCCACAGATCTCCAGACAAAGCAGGAATATTAAACATACAGGACTGTCTTTCCAATGGGAAAGATGAAAACCCTGTTCTTCCATCCAGAAAGCTAAGAGTTGGGAGTGATTAACAGCCTGGTGATCTGCATTATCTGTTGGGCCAGGCCACATCAAGCTCTACAACCAGTACTGGAGGTGACAAGTAAACTAAGTGACCCTTACAGACAGAAGCTTCCCCAAGCTGCTCTTCCAAGCATGACCAGAGTAGGCTAACAGCCCAAATGACTCTATGCCATCTGTGTGACCGAGACCAGACCAGACCCTTAAGCTCTTAAACTAGCACAGATAGCCTGTCTCTAGACATTTCTTGGAAGAAATGTCATGCACCCTGTGTTGAGCTTCAATGTAATTACACTTCCTCATGCAATAGGGATTGTTTTACATCAGGAAACTTTTTGCCTGTTATTAGATTCTCTGAAGTCTGATCCAGGCTGACAATTCACTCTGCACTGAGTTTTACTCTTATCTCTTAACAAGGTTCGCTCCCCTGTATAACACCTGTGAACATGCAAATTCATTTCAAAAGAAAGAGCCTGACACCCGCATAGAAGTGCTTCCCGGGGACCAGTACACGTGTGGTCAAAGGGGACCAGGCTGGCAGCAGAACTTGGCAGCATCATCAATATGGTTCTGATTCTGTAGACATGAGAAGTACAAGGGTGAGACTTTTGCCAAGGTCACGGAAGCTGACTAAAGCTAGGACATGTGGGGCAGGGTTGGGTCCCTGGAAAGAGGCTCTGAGTTCATCTCACAGCATGGAAGGTAAAGCTTCTAAATTGCAGTGGAGCTCCCAGGATGCTGGAGATGCCAGCACTCTAAGATGTCTGCCAAGGATAGCTGCATGATGTAAGAGGAGTCAGCCCACAGGACAGGCTAGATGTGCAGCAGGCATCAGAGATGGATAGGGGAGATTACCCACACCATTTGGATCCTAGGTGACCCCAGTCACAAACCTCAAATGCCAAACACAGCTTGGGGCTCGCCCTCTGGGCTTCCGTCTGGCTTTGGTCTGATCTTTCCTTACAATGTCCTCATTCCCCTTTTGGAATGGGAACGTGTACTCCATGCCATTGTAGGATGCAAATATGTAACTTTCTATTTGATGTCATAGGCCTCACCGTTGTTTACCTGCGTCTCTGAAGATCTCTGCACTTACACTTTTGAACAATGTTGGAACTGTTAAAGACTATGGGGGTGTTTGGAGTTGGCTTGGGTGTGTGTTTTTTGTTATGAGCTTATAAAAATAAAAGTGGAAGGTTATAGTTTTAAAGTGATGTGTTTGGGTGTCAAATTGAAAAGGGGAGAACTTGTTGATGGTAACTGATAAGATCTAGAATCATCTAACAATCAGCTTGTGGGCAAATGTGTTGAGTTTCTGGATTGCTTTGAGTTTAGAAGACCTACCTTAAATGTGGGTGACACAATTTTATGAGCTGGAATCCCCAACTAAAGAAAAGAGAGAAAGTGTGTGGGTACCGCCGTTTATCTCTCTCTGCTTCCTGACTGCAGATACCATGTGACCAAACTCCTGTCACCATGACATACATCCCTGCTGTGAGAATGTAGCCAGCTGCTGCACCAGAGAAGTCTGCAGCACCCAGTAAGTAGATCTGTGAGCCTACGTAAACTGCTTCTTCCTCTAATGAGGCGAATCCCTTCAGTTAAGTGGAAAGAGAAGCCGTCCAGTGCTATGCTAATCACATACCTCCACATGCTCTGAGGAACTAGTTCATTCTGTCCTGAATTCTAGTGGGGTAGGAGTGGTGCTACTATGTTAAAAATTTTACAAGGCCGATCAACAACTAAAGTCTGTGATTTTGGAGAGCTAGAATGTCGCAGAAGATCCAGAGCCAAATTATCGTGGGTTGTCTTTAGCCTTTTAAACAGTCATCCATCATTCACCTCTGTGCTTGATCTAAAATCAATCCTTGTAACTGTTAGGGAAATTCTTTTGGAATGCACAGTATAGACCTCTCTCTTCTACCAATCCACAGGCTAATAATGCCACTAGATAGTATCTGCATCCTATAAAAGAATACCTTAATGTATAACTTTCTTTATTCTGTTACTATAACAAGTTTCATGCAACTGTTACCAGGGTGGAAAAGGGTGTTTGGAGAAGCCAGATTCTTTTTTCCCAGGCCATTTGGAGCCCATTTGGCTCCAAAACAAACTCTTATTGCTTTTGAAAAGAGATTTTATAGTCAAGCCTTCCTTCTTATTTATTTTCTGCAGCCTGTATGTGGACATCATGTAACCAGCCAGCTTCCCACCCCTCCACCACACCTTCCCTGCTTGCTGCCCTGTCTTCCTCACCATGATGGACTGTATCCCTCTGGGCCTGTTAGCCAAAATAAACCCTTTCTTCCTTAAATTGCTGCCTTAGGGTTTCTGTTGCTATGATAAAACACAACTTGGGGAGGAAAGAGTTTCTTTCAGCTCACAGCTCTCAGGTCACACTCCACCACTGAGGGAGGGTAGGGCAGGAAGTGAAGCAGGGGCCGTGAGGAGCACTGCTTACGGGCTTGCTCATTAAGGCTCACTCAGCCTGCTTTCTTATCCTGTCTAGGCCCTCCCACATCAATCACTAATCAAGAAAATGCCCTACAGACTTGCCTACAGCTGCTTCTTATAGAGGTGTTAAGAGCCCCTCTTCCCAAATGACCTAGCCTGTGTCAAGTTGACACAAAGCTAGCTAGTGCAGTTTTCTTGTTAAGATACTTGAGCACAGCAACAAGAAAATAGCTGTGGCCTCTGAGTTGGTAAAGTGCTTTCCATGCAAGCAAAAGAACCGTGTTCAAATCTCAGAGTCCAAGAGACAGACCTGGTGTGTGGGGACATGAAGACAGACAGACCCCTGGGACTCACTGGCTAGCCAGACTAACCTAACCTGTGCTCGAGAGAGATCCTGTCTCAAAAAACAAAGTGAGTGGTGTCTGTGGAGGAATGACACTTGGGATTTTCCTCTGTCCTCCAGACATGTGCACCTTCCCCACTCGAAAACCAAATACACATAAAATAATCTTTAATTAATTGATCTTCATAAACAAATGAAATCTTTGATGCAAACCTTCCCTTTCCTTTCCAAAGCTCTAGCATCCAGTGACTAAAGAGCTGAGTTAAACAAATTGTTAGAAAGGAAATGAAAGGAGAGAGTTGGGGAGGCAGTTCCTGTATGGTACCAGAAGCCCAGGCGAGATGCTGTTTACCAGAGATATTAACATTTCACATTCTTATTTTTCTTTAGATTTTTATTGTCTGCATGTATCCCTGCAGGCCAGAAGAGGGCACCAGATCTCATTACAGATGGCTGTGAGCCACCATGTGGTTGCTGGGAATTGAACTCAGGACCTCTGGAAGAGCAGCCAGTGCTCTCAACCTCTGAGTCATCTCTCCAGTCCCAACATTTCACATTCTTAATCAATGTTCCCCTCTTGAGTCAAGCGGTGTGATCATCCAAGCTGGAACCAAGAGAGCAGGGTGAATTACACCAACTGGTACCCAAGCTTCCTTAGTGAGGAAATAGCATGGCCAGCATCATGTTGACTGGTCCTGTCAACAAGGCTGGCTCTTGCAGTCAGCAGGAAGTACCTCACCTCAAAAGAAGCCACCCGTCTTCTGAGGAGCTTGAGAAAGCCTGTGAGTCACCTGCCATCAAAGGCTAGGAAGGGGTAAAACTTATCTGGGAATAAACTCTTTACCGACAACATGGGTCCATCTCAGAAACACTGTGCAGAGTGAAAGCGAGGAGACAGGAAGGATCTCAGGTGAGAAGCCTAAGTGGAGACCAGTAGAGGCGAACCTGTGTGACAGCCCAGGGGCTACCTAAGGTAGCGGGCTCCACGGTACCACAGAAGGCCAAGAAAGGCCTTTGTGTTGCCATGGAAATATCAAAACTCATGAAATTATGCATTAAAGTGGGCAAATTTTGTGTGTCTAAATTATGGTTCTGTAAACCTTAAATAAAATTTATCCTTTTATTAAATTTCCTTGAAGAAATGTTGCCTTTAAAATTTGCATTTAACTGACCCACATTGTCTATCCTAATAAAGAAGAATGTTCTTATGGAGATAATTTATAATTAAAGAATTTCAATGGTACATCTGAGAACAATTTAGAATAGGAAGAGATCAAGTGAAATCGAGTGAATTCTAACAGCACACAAGTAACTATAACTTTCTTCTGCCGCCTAGTGGTAGAAACTCAAAATTTCAGTACATTGCTTCATCCACAATTGATCAAAGAAGGTCACAAGTCCATCTGGTTCACTGTAAGGACTCTTCTGTATGACATAGGCTGATCAGAGAGCAGGAGACAGGGTTGCACAAGATAGACCAAGTCCTCGCCTTCATCCTGCTCACCTTCTAGTTTCAGACAGTCAAAAGTAAACAGCCAAATTAACAAAAGCATTCCCAGGCATGGTAAGAAATTAATGAATGGAACAACTGATAACTTGTTTGAGGCTGTGGAAGTTAAGGAAGAAATAAGGAGGCCAGAAAAGGCAAGGCATGCCCAGCGGCAGAAGGTCATCCCAGATAAAGGGATTGGCAAGCTGAGAAACCATGAGATGGGAAGGAAACGCTGAGTGGGGAGACTGGTGACCATCGGGGTTCAGAGGAGAAAGACTCAGCATTCTGATGACGAGTTTATTCCAATTTAGGAGAAAGTCACTGAAGAATTCTCTGTTTCAGTTTAGCCTCTAAAATGAAGCTTTCTGGGGCCAGTGAAATGGCTCCATGGCAGGTAAAGGCACCTTACCTCACTACCTGAGTTTGATCCCCAGAACACGTGATGGAAAGAGAGAACAAACTGACTCCCACAATTGTCCTCTGACCTCTACAAGTGTGCTCTGGCACATGCGTGCCTGCTCATATTCACACACACGCGCGCTCTCTCTCTCTCTCCATAAATAATATATGTAAAAACTAATAAAAAGCAAAACTTCAATGAGTCTGCATTTTTATTTTCTCAAATATCTGGGAAGTTGCTCAGATGCTAAATCTAGGAAGGCTATGTGTTTTACAGTGTATCCTCTGTCTACATAGAAGTAATCGAAGTAAGCTATTTATAGCTTTGTTTATTTGGGTTAATTAGTGAAAGCATTGTTGACTCAGCAATAAACTCCATGTCTTGATGTTTCCTGGCTGTACTGACTCTCACCATTTCTTCTGTTCCTTCATCGTTTCCTCCTTCTTGTCTCTTTTAGTTTCTTGTCTGAAATGTTCCAAAACAATTATACAAGCTGGAGAGCCGTGATGAACCTTTTTCTTGGAAAGAAATGAGCCTTCCAGACTCACTCTCAGCCCATTCTTGCAGCAGCCAGAGTGTGGAGGGGAAATGGATGTCTGAACACGCCCCGGTGCTTAGGCATTCAGAACAGATGTTGCATTTCATAAGTTACCCCAGTTTATTATCCGTGATGGCTCCGTCTCTGCGAGGCAGTAATTCTTTGGGGGGAACGGCTGATCCATTTTCCCCAGCAAGCTGACACAGAAACAGGCTATTGAGTCATCTCAGATGAGAAGCTTATAAATGCTGTTTGTGTGTTTTCATACAAGGCTATCAAGTTCAATCTACCTTAGCAAAGGCTATCTCCTTGGCCCATGAGATTTCCCTACCTGGAATGCTTTGAGTTTGTGTGCACCCAGCCCATGAGGCATGGCTCACATGTTCTATGTAGTGTCCCTGGATCAGTCCCCGTTGGTATGGAAGCAGCACCTACTGGTATCATCATCTGCCTTGCCATCATGAGCAACTGTTGAGCAGCGTTGTCGTATGAGTGTCCCCTCTGCCAGGCCCACATTCACTGAGGGCAGAGAAGGTACTTGGGAGTCTCTACTAACACTCTAGAGGTGAGGCTATGGCCCTTATGTTTCCAGAACATTGCCACGATGATTCACAGAATAGCCTGACTGCTTTGGGAGCTCTGCTTGTTTCTGTGATGGGGCCACAGAAAATGCATCAGAGAATAAGAAAAGAAGAATGACCCCTAAATCAAGAAGACAGTTTTGAATCAACTTGGGATGAAAGAGAAAAACACTCGAAGCAGACAGTCCTCAGGTCTGGGGCTCTAGCTGCTCTCCCGGCCCAACTCCTCTACCCTTCTGTCCCTTCCCACTGATGGTCCTCGAGCCAGCCCAGAACATCTCGTCTAAGAATTAATCCCTAGTGAGCAGCCTGATGACACCGTTTCTAGGTACAAGGTGAGGTGGGGTAGAGTCAGGCTCGGTGACTCTGATCTCTGTCCACTGTCTTACTGAGTGCATACTTGGGTCTCACTCAAGTGTTTTTTTTTTTTTTTCCGGGCACTGACGGCTCTCCCCAATCTCCATCCTCCGGGAGTAGCTCCAGATCAGTAGCTTCATGAAAGATGACAACTATACAGGGACCAAATGACTTGTTACTGTGTTGCCAGTCTTTTTGAAATCAGAGGACAGGCCCAATTCAAGATGGAGGACAGTCTCTGGCCATTGAGTGGGGCATGTCTTGCCCAAAGCATGCTAAAGACCTGTAGGGGGCGATATTGTCCCACGCCACATGTTTCTCTACATGTATTTCAAGGCTTGGCTTTAAACTTGCCAAATCAAAGTGCATTTGTAGTTTCCAAATAATTTACAAAATATTAAGTTGTTTAAAAGGTAAAGAAATTGGGAGGGATGATATGTAAATATTCAAGGAAGTGAGTACTGTACAATGTAAAAATGGGTCACTATTCACTGTGATCTTTAGACAATTCCTCTCTTTTCCCCTATTTTTCGTTTTACTGAAAAAAGATTCTTTCTCATACATTATATCCTGACTGTAGTTTCCCCTCCCTCTTCTCATCCCAGCCACTCCCCGCCCTCCAGATGCACTCCTGATTTGACTCTCATTAGAAAAGAACAGGACACAGCAACCCCATAAGAGGAAAACAGTCATAAAGCAGGTACAAGAACCGCTCATTCTATCACTCAGGGGTCCCATCAAAACACTAATCTAAAAGCTATGATACCTATGCAGGGGACCTGGTACAAACCCTGTGCTTGCTGGGGGCTCATACGCATCTTGTTTGGTTGATTCAGAGGGCCTTGCTCTCCTGGTGTCCTCCATCCCCTCTGGCTCTGACATTCTTTCTGCCTCCTCTTCCTCAGCTTTCTCTGAGCTCTGCGGGGAGGGATTTGATAGAAACCTGTCATTTAGACTCTGAGTAATGTCTATAGTCAGACTTTCTTGTCCCACCAGCCCCCAGTAATGACACAGAGACTTATTATTAATTATAAAAGCTTGGCTTTTAGTTTAGACTTGTTCCCAACTAGTTCTTATAACTGAAATTAACCTGCTTTTATTAATCTATGTTCTGTCACATGGATTATTAACTTT